CCCAGAGCAGACCCGGCCCGGACCGATGGGAAGGAGCGGGCAGGTGTTCGTGGGAAGGAGCTCCGTCTGTGTGGCTTTAAAGGGACTCCCGGGCAGCTATCCATCCGTCCCTCTAGCGCTAGGTTTGGTGCAGGTTCTCGGGTACTCCCTGCCCGGAGTCAGGCCGGGCGCAGGGAGACAGCGCTTTGCGGAGCGGTACCCTTGGATAAGCTCTTCCGAACAGCGTTTATTGAATGTCGGCTCTTGGAAGTTTTAAATGCTCCAGCTAAAATACAATGTGAAAGTGACCAACAAATCTATAAATATATATATATATAAATTGCGATTCACCTCATCATGAGAAATAATTTCTTTATGTTGAGGGTGGCAGAGCATTGGAGCAGGCTGCCCAGAGAGATTATGGAGTCCCCCTGTCTGGAAACATTCAAACCCCACCTGGACGGGTTTCTCTGTAACCTGCTCTAGATGATCCTGCCTTGGCAGGGGAGGTTGAACTAGATGATCCCCAGATCCCTTCTAACCTTAATCCTTAATGTTGCTATGATTCTGTGATAGATGCGTACGTTATTTACTACTGTGAGCGGAAATTGTTTCACAATTTTTTTCTGAGATATTCCAGCCCTTATGTGCAGCCACTTTTCAAATGGTTAGAGTTCAGATAGCCTGTATGTCATGCTGAGCTGCGCTGCTGGTGCTGGTTGGTTGTGCATGCTTCTGATGTGCAGGCTGATAGTTAGATGGAGCTGGTAGTAAACTGATTTTAATAGCCATTTGTTTTGTAGGTGAAGCAGCATTTGGCAGGCTAGGAAAACATGCTCCTTCAGAAAAGCCGTGCCTCTTTACATGAGTATATTAAGCTTGGCTGCATTATTGATTTTTGACACAAACCTAGCATTTATTTACATTAAGTGCTTTAGCTACTAAATGGTCACAACCATATTTTTCTCTGAAATTAAGATGCAACCATGCTGAACATCCTGTATGTAGGTTTTTAGTGCTTGATAAATCTTTCAGGATCCTGCAATTGTTATTTTGCCAGGTGTGGTGAGCTTGTGCCGCTGAGTCTTATCTCTGCAGTTGGTAGCTTCTCAGTGTCTTATATTAACACAACACTGTCTCCCCTTTTGGGAGGAGCTAATTCAATCTTTGTTAATTTTTCTTTTGGATGGAGTTGAGTATGAAACACTTTTTCCCTATGTGAAAGAAACTGGTTAGGGGATCAGACTCGGGGAGAGGATGCATAATTTAGTTTGCAGCTAAAAACTCCTTTGTGAAGGATGCTTTTTCTTCTGAGAAACAGTTAAAAAAAAAAATTGCCCATGCCCTGAATCGAAGGCAAGAACTTTCAGAATTTGTGTGTACTTGGGGGTTGATGCTGCTGAGCAGTTTGATTATTTGAAACACTTGCTTCTATTGAATGTGCTTGCTGCAGTTGTACCCAGTTGAGGAGTGAGAGCACCAAGAATGGAGAAGCCCACTACGATGCTGTCAGTGTTTGTCTCCTGGGAAGGCCACATTGCTTGTTGTAGGGGGCAAAAGCTTCGACTGGTAGAAGATCTTGAAGAACACTAGCCA